TATCAAATCATGTTAGCATGATAAGATAAGATCAATAAAGATTATTTGTGGTGATTCCTTTGGCATATGGTCACATTGGCATTGGTTCCGGGATTCCGGAATTCCATTTCATAGATTCCGCAATAAGATACGCTATCCGGTTCTTTAGGCCATAGTCATAATTGAGGCAAATGAAACATACTGGATTTAAAATCATAGGATATGGCCATGAACGATTATTTCAGATAATTTCATTGTCATAAAGGGTGTCCACGATGAAATTGCCACACACAAAATTGATTCGCAAAATTCGAGTTTTCATCCAATTGCCATCAAATTTTCAGGGATTGAGAAATAACTATTAAACTTCATTTTACCATTTTACTCGTATTTTATTTACAGTCCATACGCAAATGCCCGCACCTTGGCCTTAACCCTGGCCATAAGATTCTGCACAACCTGTGAATCAACCGTTTTTTGCATGTAAACCCATACTTTCTTCAGTTCCTCGACTGTCTTCACTACCTTAGGTCGTTTAAGAAGGTGCTGCTTCATAATCGCCCAGTACTTCTCGATGGGGCGGAGCTCCGGAGTGTTGGGAGGGTTGAACATTTTCGGCACGAAATTGACCTTATTGTCCGCATACCACTTCAGCACGTCCTTGGAGTAGTGGCATGAGGCCAAATCCGGCCAGAAGATTGTTGGGACGTTGTGGGCCTTCAGGAGAGGAAGCAGCCGCTTCTGAAGGCACTCTTTTATGTACACCTGTCCGTTTATCGTGTCCTGGGTCACGAAAGGTCCCGCACGTGCAGATGGCTTGCCAAACCAGGAATTTCTTCGCAAATTTGGACATCTTCTGAGTGCGGACATGCTCCGGAACGCTGAACTTATCCTTGGCCGTGAAAAACAGGTTGCCGGGGATCTGTTTGAAGTCGGCCTTCACATATGTTTCGTCGTCCATGATGCAGCATTCAACTTTCGTCAGCATGTTGAGGTACAACTTCCTGGCACGGGTTTTGGCGGACTTGTTCTGCTTCTCGTCGCGATTAGGGGCCTTTTGTACCTTGAACGTTCGAAGCCCAGCCTTAGTTTTGGCCTTCTGGACAAAACTTCGGCTTAGGTGCAGCTTCTTAGCCACATCCCTAACGGAGGCGTTCGGATTTCGGTTGAAGGCCCCAACTACGCGGTTGTGATTTTTGGTGTGGTACGGAATACTTTTTCCTTCCCTTCTGGGCTTCCGATCGGTGGTCAACCGTTCCTCGAACCGCTTAATCACTCGCGACACCGTGTAATTCGCGATTCCCAACGTTTTAGCGATGGAACGATGCGAGAGATCCTTGTTCTCGTGATGAATGCGCAAGATTTTATCACGCACGAGCTGTTCTTTCGACTCCATTTCCGAGTTTTGATCACAGGACTTTAAAACTTGCAGGATGTAAATAATGCACTATGAACTAAATCCACCCAAATTTTCATTAAATTCTACCCAACGGTTAAAAAGTTAGAGCAATTTCATAGTGTGGCAATTTCATCGTGGACACCCTTTAGACACATTGGCATCTGGTTCAGTAAATTCTGGATTATGACTAGAAATGGTATATTTCAAACTAATATATCGCACGCTATGTACAATCATGCATGTTCAACCGAGGTGAATATTATAAGGGGTGATGCATATATTAGGTCATTCTAAGGGAGGAGGGGGGAGGGGTCTTATGATTTTGTGACAAGCAATGCATTAGGTATAGGAAACACGTGATGAAAGGGGGGGGGGAGGGGGTTAGTTTTTTTTTCTCAATTTAGCGTGACATATTAAATGGTTCGCCCCTAATGCAAATAATCTGAGGACAGTAGCCACCATCCAGGATCTGATCCTGGTGCTCCGGAAGTCATTATGAACTAACGTTTCTAGCTAAAATATTCCAAAGAGTATGACCATCCGTGATCCAGGTTCTCCGGAAATCATTCCAGCCCAATAACCGAGGCTAAAATATTTCATAGAGCGCCAAAAAACAAATTACCATAACAAAAAAATATGTGAATATTACAATGACAATCATTCAGGAAATTGTGAACACATTCCTTCATACGGAATCTGATCCAGGTTCTAGGAAAAAAATTTGAACTAATGGCCTGGCTGAAATATTCCATGGAGTGCAACATAACAAACCCAAGTGAATATTACAATTCCACCGTTTCAGCTGGTTACTGGGATCAGTAAGCAACTGTCCAGTCGCGTCTTTCATAGGCATCTTTGCTCCAATCAGACGTCGTGATATATCGCAGAGGAGGTGGATATCGTCGGTTATTGCGGCATTCTCTCCTTCGTCGGTCAGGGAGTCCACCCATACTCGCTTGTCCCGTCTGCAATTGCGGTTTATTTCCTTCTCTAGAGCCGACTACCGTTGACAGGCAAACCATAAATTGTAATATGTACCTATTACATCCAAGAGGATGCACTTCAATCATGTCGAAAATCTTATGTAATTTTTTTGGCCACATAAATAAACAAATGCAATAAAAGTCATTTTATGCACTGTTTTAATGATAATTTTTTCTGTTGGCAAGGAATATTACACCATATTTTTGACACGATCAATGTGGATTGATGTGATATCAAAATTATGTTTTGCTGTGTACCCTTCGGAGTGTTGTAACACCCTCCAAAGCGCCCCTTTGTTAGTCAAAATTGGATTCCTTAACAACAAAATTAAGAAATGACACTGATAATGACCATGCGTCAGAACCCTAGTCTTAACCACTTCAAACTAGAGAACAACGAATAGAAGATTAGGAATGACATGAAGACAAACTAACTCATTTTTCCCTTAAAGTTTAAAGATCATCCTCGGTAGACAAAGCCGAGTCTTGTCACTATCAACAAGGCATAAAAAGAAACAAGGACTAAGATGTGTTCCTTTGATTACTTAAAAATCTTGTTCCCCTAATTTGAAGTAATCAAGACTAGGAATCGGTGGTAGATCTTACATCTCGTAATGTACCACAAAAAGGTGATCTACCTACGTTACGGGGCAGCTAGGACCGTTAGTTTATAATTACTTCCGGAGCACCAGGGTCAGATCCTGGATGGTGGCTACTGTCCTAAGATTTATGTTTTTTTTTGCATTATAATATTCACCTCGGTTGAACATGCATAATTTTACTTACCACGCGATGTAGTAGCTTCGAATATATCATTCCTAGTCATAATCCAGAATTTACGGAACCAGATACTGGAGGCATTCAAACAGATGCAAAAGTGTCTATATGACAATGAAATTATCTGAAATAATTGTTCATGGGCATATCCTATGATTTGATATGCAGTATGATTTATTTGCCTCCAATATGAATATGACCTAAAGAACTGGGTTTCAGGATCACAGGAACCGATGTCAATGTGGCCATGTGTCACAGGATTCATCTCAAACTGTTTTCATTAGGCATATTTATTTTTTTGTCGTGATTGGAACCACCACATGATATGTCATTTTGGCATAATATGATATCATAACCTCAATGTAATTATATTCCAACAAACCGTTCGCTGGAATTTACAGATCCGCGTTTCGGAACCGATGCCGAACTGGCCAAAATCATCTCAAATCATCTTCATCTTCACTTGATTCTACCTATTTGACATGATTTGACATGCCACAAGATACTTTTGCCTAAGATATTACAATGTCCTACAGAACCGATTTTCGGGACTCCCGGAACCAATAATATCGTAGTTATACGTTATGAAAATATCTACATTCAGTCTTACTAATCATATTTCATCTATCGGATATCATTTGCTGCACCAGACAACCGACTCGCATGAAAATTTAAAACATTTGGTCAAACTGGTTAAAAAGTACAAAAAAACACAGACATATTTACATCTACCAAGAACGAGGAGGGTTCTAAGGGGGTGGTACCTACGACAAAAGTTAGTTCAACTATTCCCCTTGAATAAAATTCAAAGTTTATGAAAATCGGATGAGGCATTGCTGAGAACGAGTTTGTTGAAAAAAATTCGTTCGTCCTGGTACTTTACGGGTTAATTCCACACTTTTTAATTATTAGAGTTTGACACAAAGGGGTTTACTGGAACGATAATTTTATAAATCTTTGACAAAAGAACGATGAGAATTTTTGTGTGTGGATTGCTCAAAAGTGAGTAAACATTAATTTACGATAAATAGAGTTAATGTTACTCAGTTTGCTAAATAAATGTTACTCAGTTTTTGACATTTTGCATACAAATTCCAAACAATACGAGCGTGTTGTGGGTAAACTCTACAATCAAGACCAGTGTTGGAAAAATCAGAAATCATGCCCTCATGCGCTCGCAATATCACGCGTGATATTGGAACAAAAACATGCTTGATATTGATTTTAAAAGTGTAGTATCCGCCCCTAGCTACATCACTGGCTGTCTGGAACAGCTGTGCAGAGAGAAGAATAAACATTCAGTTTATATACTGACTGCACTACCGGACAGACGTGCGTTTTATTTTATCGTATCACGGTAATCCTTATCGGTCACCTAACGTTTAGAACCCGTGTCCCACAAGATATTTCAGTGACGACGAAGTGTCACCCCTGCTGGGGTGAGAGGTAATCACGCTTACCACTACACCACCGGCATGCTAGTTTCATATATAGCAAACATTATTTACGCTTGTGTTGAGCGACATTTACACGAAGTTGTTTTGTTTGTGTGTTTCACGTTTGTGTTTCGTTGATAAAGTTTGATCGTTTTAAAAGTGGCTCTCGATCGTTTCGATACACATAAGTTGAAGTTTGTTTTGTTTGGCAAGATTAACAGTTTATGCTATATGCACGGAAAGAAAAACTGTTTGAAAAATTGAGCAAAAAGTTTTGGATAAATTGTTTTAAAAATTATGTTTTGATTTAATCAACTGTTTGTTGTGATCAAGTTTTGTTACACTGAAAGAAATTTTAATATTGGTTTTGTGTGATAATTTATTGAATCGGTTTTTCAGTTTTCTTTGTTTAGTACGCTGTCAAGAATGCCGTTGGTAAGTCACGTAGAGCCGTACGTACCTAGTACGATTCCGTTTGGCCAGTACCTGGAGCAGATGGAATGGATTTTCATCGACAACAAGGTGACAGATGCTGATGACAAGAAAGCATCGTTTCTGGCGGCATGCGGTAAAGAAGTTTACAGCGAGTTGAAGCTTCTTTTCCTGGGAAGGATTTGAAGACGGTGTCATTTAAGGATATCACCGATACCTTGAAGAAGCGGTACGACAACACTGGAAGCGACATGATCCAACGTTTCAAGTTCTACCAACGAGTGCAAGGTCCTACCGAAAGCGCAGAGGATTTCATTCTTGGTGTGAAGCTGCAAGCGGAGATGTGCGAGTTTGGCGATTTTAAGGACATTGCAATTCGTGACAAGCTTGTGTGTGGTATCAACGACCCGGATGTGCAACAGCGGTTATTTGATGAAGAGAATCTGACGCTTAGTAAGACGGAGAAGATCATCATCAACAGGGAGATAGCTGGAGCAAGGCGTAAGCTAGTGTCCCGTGAATCCGGTCGTGTGAGTGTTTTGAACAGGCTTGGTAAACGCGAAGAGCGAACAGTTTCACGAGGAAGATCCCGAGGTAGGAGTCGCGGACCAAGTAGGCGAAGCAGAAGTCGTAGTCGTTCTGTTTGTTTCGACCGTAGAAATCGTTCTTCGTTTAGATCACGGAAGTTTCACTGCAGCTTCTGTGACAGAGATGGTCACACGCGTCGCTTCTGTTATGATCGGAAGAACAAAGAGAGGAAATCTGTGAAGTTTGTCGATTCTCCTGCAGCAAAGCCGAAGTTGACGGAGTATCAGAAAAGTTTGCGTCGTCGGCTGAACAGATCTATTTCGGATGATGAGGAGATGGAGTGTATGTTGATCTCTTCCATTAAAACCATCAACGAACCGTGTTTCCGCACAGTTGTAGTCGAAGGTGTGCGATTAGAGATGGAAATAGACTGTGGAGCTGCAGTTTCCGTCATCAGTAGTGAGACGTACGAGGGAGAATTCGCCGATATCTCGATGCAGAAGTGTACCAAGAAGATGGCAGTGATCAGCGGGAATCGATTAGTGGTCGAAGGACAGATTCCGGTGCAGGTTGAGTTGAACGGACGACGAAAGACTATTAAGCTGATTGTCTTGAGGAGTGGAAGCTCGTTTACACCGCTACTTGGACGTGATTGGCTTGACATCTTCTATTCTGACTGGAGAAATGCATTTGGCAGTGGGGCGAGCGTGAACCAACTGTCGTTTCCGGCTTCAGAGGAACAAATTGTGGACGATGTTAAAGGTAGGTTTGCCAATATTTTTGATAAATCTATGTTTACGCCGATCAAAGTTTTTCAGGCAGATTTAGTATTGAAAAAGGGAGCAGTGCCAATATTCAAGCGTGCATATGACGTTCCATTACGTTTGAAAGATAAAGTTGACGAACATTTGGAAAGTTTGGAAAAAGATGGCGTCATAACACCGATCGATGCAAGTGAGTGGGCATCGCCGGTGATTGTTGTAGTGAAGAAAGACGGAGGTATTAGGATGGTGATCGACTGTAAGGTTTCGATCAACCAGGTGATCATTCCGAACACATATCCGCTTCCGTTGGCTCAAGATATTTTTGCTTCACTAGCTGGTGCTAAAGTTTTTTGTTCACTAGATCTGGCTGCCCGAAAAAAAATAACAACAAAAATACATTAAAAAACAATGTAACAATAAGACGAAAATTATTGTCTTAACAATGATTTATATTGTTACGTCTACAATAAATTTACCTTGATTTATGTTGTACAAAACAATAAATTTCATGGTAAATGGAAAATTTACAATAAAAAAGGGGGGTTGTTAAGTATCTTAACAATGAAATTTTCGTGATTTTCCCATATAATTTTTTTTCAATAACATTATATATTATTGTTATTTTACTGTTGGTTGGCGAATTTATTGATTAAAAAAATAACAGTGTACTTTAGAGTGTATGTGTTGGCTTGACAGATCTACTTTATCGACTTTAAAAATAAATCGAAAAAATAAAACATTGCCCCGGGAAGGGAAGGGGGTGGTATGTCTGTTACGGGTGGTCCTTTTTTTACTGGTTATGGATCGAGATTCGATCCGGAACTTGTGAGAAATGCAGGCCAACTCCCCTGCGCTCGATATCCCTAGGTCACGTCTCCTTGGTGGTTGAGCGTCGTTGATAAGTTAATGCATTCGACTGGAGAGAATCGCCCATGAAATATGCTTCCACCTGAGAGTTCTTTCCTGACATCTTCAAGTGGTGGAATTTTTTATTATTATTGTATGATTATTGACTGCACGGAAAAGGTCTCCATTAAGCTTTAGAGAGGGTCTAGGATAAGATATGAGCGGACGCGGACTGCCTGGTTTGAGCCAAACGAACTGTCAAAGCCAGAGCCATACGAGCAGCGCCTATCTTAATTACATTGGCAGTGTTGCTGACCCTCTCATAGTCTGCATGCTTCAATCAGATTTATTTTTATTGTTCGTGAAGTAAACCACAATGAAAATACACCAATATTTAATGTAACAACAATTTTTATTGTAATAGAGCTGTTCATTATTGTTCATGATCGAATCATGTTAACAATAAAATAAATGAAAAATACGATAAAAATCATTTTATTATGTACATTCATTGTACAGCTAGGTAGCAGTTTTGCCGTTTTCGGAAGGGTACAACATTATAACAATAATTTTTATTGTCGACAATAAATATTAATGTTAGAGCATTGTTTCCACTGAAAATTTCACTGTATTTTATTTTTCGGGTGGAGCGTACACACAGTTGTTGTTGTCTGAAAAGTCTAAGAAAATTATGGTGATTAATACAGTAAAAGGTTTGTTTTCGTATAATCGTCTACCACAAGGTGCTTCTTCAAGTGCTGCTATTTTTCAGCGAGTCATGGATCAGGTTTTGAAAGGCATTAACGGAATTTATTGCTACCGATGTTTTGATAGCTGGTGAGGATTATGAGGACTGTTTACGAAAGCTTTATTTGGTTTTAGAACGACTTTCTAATGCCAACATAAAAGTTAATTAGCAAAAATGCAAGTGGTTTGTGAAAAGTTTGCCATTTCTGGGCCACGTGTTGACAGAAAAAGGTTTGTTACCGAGTTCAGAAAAGGTCGAGACGATTCGGAGAGCAAAGGTTCCGAATAACGTCACCGAGCTGAAGGCATTTTTGGGTTTGATAAACTATTATGGCAAGTTTATTCCCAATTTATCCTCACGTTTAAGCTGTTTATATCGTTTACTCAAGAAAGATGTTAAGTTTGTCTGGACTGATGAGTGTACTAATGTATTTAATGATAGTAAGCAGTTGTTGTTGTCTTCAAAACTATTAGAATTTTTTGATCCTAAAAAGCCTGTCGTTGTTGTGACAGATGCTTGTAGCTATGGGTTAGGTGGCGTGATTGCTCACGAAATCAATGGAGAAGAGAGGCCTATTAGTTTTACCTCCTTCAGTTTAACAAATTCCCAAAAATCCTACCCAATTTTACACTTGGAAGCGTTGGCTATTGTGAGTACCATAAAGAAGTTGCACAAGTTTTTGTTTGGAAAGAAGTTTACTGTGTACACGGATCATAAGCCGTTGATAGGCATATTCGGTAAAGAAGGAAAAACATCGTTGTTCGTGACGCGTTTGCAGATATATGTAATGGAACTAAACATTTACGACTTTGACATTGTTTACAGACCGTCATCGAAAATGTACAATGCTGATTTCTGCTCAAGGTTTCTTTTACCTGATGAGGTGCCAGTTTCGTTGCAACAGGAGTTTATTAAAAGTTTGAATGTACACAACGAGTCTCCTTTGGACCATGTTTTGATTGCAAATGAAACAAAGCAAGATGAGTTTATTCTGAAAATAGTTTATTACATGAAGCATGGTTGGCCAAAGAAGTTGGAGCGCAATATTTTAGATGTTTATGCTCAGCATCAAGATCTTGAACTGGTCGGAGTTTTGTTAGCTTGATATTTCGAGCTGCGATATCACAGCTAGCAAAATCAACCGCAGTTGTTTGCTTGCTGATTTTTGTCTACGAAAATCAAGCGTGATCTTGGACGTTGGTGAGATTTGATTTTTTGATATTTTCCCAACACTGATCAGGACATTGCAGAAGAAGCAGAGTTAGTCGATCCTTTTAATGGTAGTATGTCACCGTATTGGGTAGTTTTTATTTTGAAGAAATTAAAAAAAAAAACATCTTTGTATCAATTAGTTTTATTTCATTTTCATATTTGTTCATATAACAGTAAATATCAATAAGTGCCAAATATTTTTCTTACAGTTTTCACCTTACTTGTTTTATAATTCTCGTTTTCTTTTGTTTTCTTGTATTTTTGCTTCACATATTAAAATTACGTTTCAGTGTTTCGCCGTGCTTTCGTCTTCTTTCAAAACTTTTCCGTACCATAATTTGCAGTGTACTGCATCATTTACTCACCCGATGAATGCTATGTTACAATTTTGATAGGTTTGATAACTAGAAAACCAATGTCCAATTGAAAAAAAGCAGTCGTTAAATGAACTTAAAATGTCGGTTGAAGGAAACGGAAGAAAGTACAAATATTCTTTTTTAAATAACACACGAACATTTTTGTGTCGCCTTTTTGACTTCATTTGCCTTATTACACTTATGAATTTTGTTTTTTTTTTGGTTTCCTCAAATCAGCCAAATATAATTTTGAGTGTTTCTTGTTTTTTTCCACTGTTTTCCCACGATCTCTCTTTCTATAAATAATTGTGCCTAAATAACAGTTAAATTTTTACTTTCATTTGCCTAAATTGCATTTCATTACATTTTAATGTTATTATTCTTTTTTTTTGTTTTGTTTAATTTACGTCCAAGTCTCCACTGGATTTGCTTTTTCTTACGTGTCGTTTTTATATTTTTTTTCAGTTTTTAATTTTACTGCTTAGTGCCGAAAATTCTCTCTTACAATATTTGCTTACCAAAACGTTTGCTTATTTACAGACAGTAAGTAATTTCTAGCTTTCAACGCAAATTTCGAACCGAAAACCGTTTAAAACTAAACGTTCTGAGTTAACGTAAAAAATAATAATAATAATAATGTCAACATTACAAATCGGTATCACATATCGAAAAAAGTACAAGTTACAAATATTTACTGTATTTATTTGTGTTTTCGTTCCACCTGTCATCGTGTGTCATGTTTTGCCGTTTCGCGACTGCTGCGATTACGTGCCTTCTGTTTCCATTTTGACAGAATTGTTCTAGTTTCTGCTTTAAAACCACCTGCACAGTATGCCGTTAATGCTTTTGTCATTATAATGTAATTTTATATTCTATTTCTTCTTCTTTCATTGTGTTTCGTTTTGTTTTTTGTTTTTGTATGCTTTGTTTAATGTATATGAAATTCATTAAGTTACCCTGTTTTATTCTTCCGTTTTTCATTTTTTGTTTTTGTTTAATGAGCAGCTGGATTTGTTGAGTGAAGTTTGTTAACAAAGGGTTGTGAAATTCGGCTGGTTCAGTTGGCTTTGGTATGGGAATTGAACTTAAAACAGGAATAATGCGGTAACAGAAATATTTCGTTTTTGAACCATCGGACCGTGGGGCTTAAAGTAGATTGTCTATTGCTGAATGTTTTACCTTTTAAGATTTGCTGAGGTTGATAAGGGGGAGTTGTTTTTGCGTTGCTGAAATGCGTTACCGGGTGAACTGAAAAACTGAACGGTTGGTTGCTTTTCTTCGTGTTTGTTTGTTGTTCGTATTATTGTAGCTACGTTATTTTGTACATGTGGTTTACAGAATTACATTATTTAACCTAGTATATTTTTTTCCGGTTCCAATTTGGAATATGACAATATTTTTACACCTGTTTCATCACGATTTCTTTGTTTTCGTTTCGTCTTCTGCGTTTTCCTTAAGGTTTAACATCATCCTCCACTCGAGAGAGTAAAATGGCGGTTTTATAGAGGGGTTCCTTTTTGTTAGAAAATTGTGCATTGTTTTTAGTGTTCTCTTGCCAGGCGCAGCTGTTTTCTCCTTCAATTTTGACATAATTTGAACAGAGTGTGACATCTAGATCTCAAGTCGTATACTATCCGAAAATGTCATTTTCTTTTTGTTTTCGTTCCTCCCTATGTTAAAGTGGTTGAATTTTCACGCAAAACTAAATGTGGTTATTTTTTGACATATCTTCGCTTCACCAAACTATTTACTTCTTTTGTCGGTTTTCCACAAATTTCCACTAAATTCAAGATTTTGACCTTACGACACTCAGTAGATTTTGTACATTCCTTAAAT